GCAGGAACCAGCAGCATGTTCAAGCGTTAAAAGCAAAAAATCTGCTAAGAAAATAGAAGGGAAAGCTGAAACACAGAATCCCATGGACATATCCTAGCTAAGCCTTCTATTAGCAGAATGAGCCATGAAAGCAACCGAACAGGGAAAGAAGTAATTTTCCCTAGTGTTTCTCTTAACTTGCACCAGAACAAATTTATTCAGAAAGTCAATAACATTTAATAAAGTATTTTTCTGGTATTTAGCAGAAGCAAGATGTACCAGCTGTTTATGTTAACATCCAAAGTATTAATACAAATTACCGCACAAGATTCAAGTCAGTAAAAAGGCTCAAAATACTGTTGAACTGAGCAACTTGAGAAAGAAATGTAAAGCTGCTCTGTGATTATACAAAAATAAGTATGTTGGACTACTTTTAATGGCACTGGACTCTTCCTTATATTAGACTATTATAATTTCCCATGTTTGTCCATGGTTTAACAATAAGAAAAAAACAAAACCAAAACTGACTGAAAAAAAGTACCGATTGATTTTCAGTTCAAAAACAATACCTACGGATAATTCTAGAAGATAATTTGTCCAAGATTCTCCTTCCCTTTCCTTTCCTTGCAGCTTGTCCTATTCTTGTGTAACTGTATTACCTTCCACCTATAATAACAGCACCACTAAAGAACTAGATGATATGTACTGCCAACACATTGTTCATTCTTCTTGTGTGTTCTACTATTTCTCACACAATCTTGCTGCCCACTCAAAAACTAAGCTCTTTCAGATGGGAACAGATCACAGTGCCTGTCAGATGCTTGATCACGCTTAGAGGCTTCTATATTTAATATAGTGAGAAAAGGGGTCACATTTGGAAGGGTCAGTGGAGAAATAACTAGCTTTGGTCAGAAGAATTGTTTTCTTAAAGCAATCTGTTGCTTACAGTCGTCATGAGTGACACAAATATTTTAGTTTCTCTTGGAAGTGATTTGTGAAAGGTTTCCGCCATCTTCCTTTGTTTAATACACTGTGACGGTCATCTCACATAATATAGTTCTTTTGTGCAATAACACAATGTCCCATTGTTTTTTTTTATTCCCAGGTTGGTTCTTAGAAACAAAGGTCTAAAATCCTGGGAAGGTTTTATCCCCTTAGACTGATAAATACGAGAACCATATGTTCAGTGGCCGCTTCAAGTACACAGACCTGACATTTCTGTAGTTTTTAAAGACTCAAATATGTCAACGTGCTAAATGAACAACTCTTGGTTTCTGTTCCAGGTACAAAGAAGAAGATTGTCACTGCTGAGAGGTGCAGGATAGAATGCTATAGCTTTCAGAAAGCCTAATCCAAGAAGTTTATCTTAGAATTTAGTGCTTAGGCCAGTGTTGCTTTGTGTTTTCATTGAAGATAAAAGGGCATAATGAGAAGTGCATAATAAGATATAATACCAGAAGTAAAAAACTGACAATTTTTAGATTGGAATAAAGCACAATTGCTAAAACAAATAGTCAACGGCTTTCTAGAAGGAATGCTTAAATCAAAGAGATTAATGTGTCCAGGACAGAAGCAATAGATGGCATAATTGTTGGTCTGATCTAAAAATGCAGGAGTTAATAAATATAGATCTATGCCACTAGAAGAACATGTGTAAAGAGACATAATGGAAGACATTTCAAATTTACATATTTGGAGTAAAATCATGTTTCCACTTAAGCCAATATGTCCTTGCACCTAATTTATAATATTTGTTTTTCCTACATAATTTCATCTCACAAAAATGTTTGGCATAATGATAACGTTATATTTGAGTGATGAAAGGTTTACCATTTTTATGTTTTTGGTTCAAAACTGACTTATAAAGTCAGTAAAAGTAATTGGAAGCGTACACTAAGCACTTTAAAAAAGTAACTTTTTTTTTTTTCCCACTAGAGAGCCTGAACAAAGCACCAAAAGTTTCTTGTTTGGAAAATCTGAAGCTTGGATGCTCTTTGCTCGAATAAATAGCTGCTGTAAATCTGTAGTAATTCCTCACCATGTCTAACACGACAAAGAAAGGTAGAAAGTGGAAGAAAACAGAAGAAAAACTTGTTTATCTCAGTGGAAGCCCTTGTTTTTCACACCATGAACTAGTAATTCAGTTGTACAATTCATTAACTGAAATTTAAAGGTAGGAATAATGTTCTGCTTTATAAGAAATAAATACTGTCTTTACTCAAGAAATCTAAGAATTAAGTTTTTGTAACTAAGAAGACTTTCTGTTCTTCTTATGGAAAATATTTTGCCGTGAACAAAACAGGAAGGATAACAAAAACAGATGTGTTATTTAACCAGGCTGAAACAGCTGAACATATGGCTCACTTATTAAGTATACATAAAGTGCAATGAACAGTGTTCTGTAGTCTAAATTTTAAACTTAGGACATGGTTTGATTTTCTTTTAAATAATAAAAAATAACAAATTCAGAGAAACCCCAAAATGTACCTAACAAAGTAAATGCTGTTCCTGAATCTATGCGATGTATGTTCCCCACCCCAGAGTAGTAGTGAGTACCTCGTGCCACAGAATGAAAGATATTTTAATTAATTACTTAAACCTGGATTCCCCCAGAAAACATCACACACATTTATCCATGCAAAAAAAAAGCATTTCAAGCCATGCAAACCTCAGTTTTCTCCTCCATTAATCTCTGCACACACTTCAAAAGAGTTCAGAAGGGAATAAAGATAGGCATTTTTTTAAAAGAACATTAGTTATCTGCTCTTTCTTTTGCTTGGCAGTTATCTAGCTGTACTGCATCCAGTAGTACTTTCTGGTAGTAACATTCTTGAATGAAAATACAAGCTAGGCTGTAGAATGGCTGAACACTCTAAAGGCTTTCCAAAGATAACATCAGCTCTAGAAGGCTCAGCAATAACACAACATTTAGAGAATCAACACATAATTTCTCAGAACAGCTTTACAATTTTTTCAAATCAACGTAATTCATGTATTTCTGAAACTGGCTGTTAGGCTTCATGGACCATGGCAAAGTGAACTTATTCTGAACTGGAAGAATATGATTTATTTGCTTATACTAAAGCATTTGAAGAGTGTTAATTGACATATGCCTGAAGCACTGAGAGAAAATCAGGGTTATTTCGAAGAGATTCAGAAAGACTTTGCATTAAAATTACAATGTGTCAACCATAGCTATAATTTTGTATGCTGTTATTATCTATTTGGAAACCAGAAATCTGGTAAATACTGTTTAAAAAATATGAATAACCTCAAAAAAAAAAAAAAACACCACCAAAAAACCACTAACCAACCAACCCAAGGCAAAACTTAGAAGATCTGAATGACTTTATATATGGGGGAAATTGTACAAGATTGCATTGAAATCTATTTATTTCTCCTAGTCTCACACAGATCTAACTGACATTTTGAACCAAGTCTTCCAAGGAAGAATTTTCTTAGACACAGATTTATTGTTTAAGGAGTTGTTTATTGGACAAAACGATATTGTAGTCATGTTAAAAGCAAAATTATGTGATATCTTTGAACAGTAACACTGTGTCTACTTTTTTCATTATTTCCCATAGCTATGACATAGTTGCTATCACAGAAACATGGAGGGAGAACTCTCATGGCTGGAGTGCTGCAGTGGACGGCCAAAAGCTCTTCAGAAGGGATAAGCAGGGAAGGAGATGTGGTGGGTGGCTCTGTATGTTAGGGAGCATCTTGACTGCACAGAGCTCAATGACTGTGATGGTAAGGTTGAGTGCTTATGGGTAAGGATGAGGAGAAAGGCCAACAAGGTAGATATCCTGATGGGACTCTGTTATAGACTACCCAAACAGGATGAAGAGGTGGCATTCTTCAAGCAGCTAACAGAAGTCTCAAAATCACCAGCCCTTGTTTGTGTAGGGGACTTCAACTTATTGGACATCAGCTGGAAATACAACACAACAGAGGCAAAAATCTAGGAGGTTCCTGGAGCGTGTGGAAAATAAATAAATTCCTGACACAGCTGGTAAGTGAGCCTAGTAGGGGAGGTGCCTTGCTAGACCTAGTGTTTGCAAAGAGAGTAGGACTGGTGGGTGATGTGGTCATCAGAGGCCATCTTAGGCTTAGTGACCATGAAATGGTAGTTCTCAATTCTTGGTGAACTACGGAAGGGAGTCAGCAGAACCACTACTATGGACTTCCAGAGGGCAGACTTTGGCCTGTTCAGGTCGGGACAGTTCCTTGGGAGACAGTCATGAAGGGTAAAGTGCTCCAGGCAGGCCGGATATTCTTCAAGCAAGAAGTCTTAGAGGCACAGGAGCAGGCTGTCCCCATGTGTTATAAGACAACCTGGCAGGCCAGGTGACTAGCCTGACTGAACAGGGAGCTTTTGTTTGGACTTGGGGAAAAAAGGAGAGTTTACCAACTTTGGACGAAGGGGCAGGCAACTCAAGAAGAGTACAAGGATCTGGTTAGGTTATGCAGAGAGAACATCAAAAAGGCAAAAGTCCATCTAGAACTCAATCGGGCCACTGTTCATAAGAGACAATAAAAAAGGTTCTGCATTAACAGCAAAAAGAGAGCCAGGGAGAATCTCTACCCTTTATTGGATGCAGGGGGGAACATGGCCACCAAGTATGAGGAAAAGTCTGAGATTCTTAATGTATTCTTTGCCTCAGTCTTCAATAGCCAGACCAGATATGCTGAGGATATTCAGTCCTCTGAGTTGGAAGACAGGGATGGAGAGCAGAATGAACCTACTGTAATCCAGGAGGAAGCAGTTAAGGACCTGCTGAGCCACCTGGACACTCACAACGCTATGGGGGCAGATGGGATCCACCCACCAGTGGTAAGGGAGAGGGCAGGAGAGCTGGCCAAGCCACTCTCCATCATTTCTCAGCAGCCCTGGTTAACAGAGGAGGTCCCACTCGACTGGAGACTTGCCAATGTAATGCCCATCTACAAGAAGTGCCAGAAGTAGGATCCAGGTAACTACAGGCCTGTCAGCCTGACCTTGGTGCCAAGGAAAATTATGGAATGGTTCATTCTGAGTGCACTCACACAGCACGTGAAGGGCAGCCAGGAGATCAGGACCAGCCAGTGTGGGTTCACAGAAGGCAGGTCCTGCTTGACCAACCTGATCTCCTTCTATGACCTGGATTTCAGTCATAACAACCCCAGGCAATGCTACAGGCTTGGGGAAGCGTGGCTAGAAGGCTGCCAGGCAGAGAAGGACCTGGAGGTGCTGGTGGACAGTTGGCTGAACATGAGCCAGTGGTGTGCCCAGGTGGCCAAGAAGGCCAACAGCATCCTGGCCTGTATCAAAATTGGTGTATCCAGCAGGAGTAGGGAGGTGATCATGCTCCTGTACTCGGTGCACTGGTGAGGCCACAGTTGGAGTGTTGGGTTCACTTTTGGGCACCACAGTATAAGACAGACATTGAGGTGCTGGAGTGGGTCCAGAGAAGGGCAAAAAAGCTGGTGAAGGGTCTGGGGAACATGTCTTATGAGGAGTGGCTGAGGGAACTGGGATTGTTTAGTCTGGAGAAGAGGAGCCTGAGAGGAGACCATATTGCTCTGTACAACTATCTGAAAGGAGGTTGTAGAGAAGTGGGTGTTGATCTCTTCTCCTGAGTAACTAGAGACAGGGGGAGAGGAAATGGGCTTAAGTTGCACCAGGTGAGGTTTTGGATATTAGGAAGAATTTCTTTCCTGAAAGAGCATTGGAACAGGCTGCCCAGGGAGGTGGTGAATCCACCATCCCGGGAGATGGTTAAAAATTCTGTGAATGTGATACTTAAGGACATGGTTTAGTGGTCATAGTAATGTTGGGTTGATGGTTGGACTTTATGATCTTGAACTTTTCCAATCTTAATGAATCTATGACTCATTTTTAATGATACCCATGTTTGTTCTCACGGTAAAGTCAAACTAGTTAAACCCTTCCTCAGTATTTACTGTATCTGTACCATGTTGAAGGGAATTCCTCCATAAGATCAACCTTTACTACTGCCCCAAATTCTGAGCTATGTCACCAAAGGACACTGTCATTAGAGACAATTATATCTTGCCAAAAGAGTTAAATAGACACTAGTGGAAGAGTGTGACCACTCTCAGAAATACAGTTCACTGGTTCCTTATTCACACAGATCTTTTGACAGGACATGGAATAGCTTACTCAGCAGTAGTAAACTCAAGAGAAGAAGCAGTAGACAAGTTGAAGAACTCAGATCTGGATAACTTTCATTAGCCAATCTACAAGATACTAGTATTGAGAGGTAGGTTCTTATTACTTGGTAAATTATAATATTCTAATAATCACCAACTGACTATACCACTACCCTCTCCAGTAAGAACATTTTTTTTTTCCAGTTAGTAACTTTTTTGACAGCAACTTCTAGATAATCAGAGTTCCACAGAGAAGTTCCCAACATTCCTCAATATACTTTTTTCAGCCAGGATGCGTCATTCAAGTTTTGTCAAGACAAAATTATAACACCACATGTTGAGGGACCTCAATAAAGGGAGGTCATTGTCTTCTGGAGTATTTTGTTGTTGATGCTACTGCAAATCATTCTGCAAATATGTGTGATCCAGAAGATTCTCCTGGGAAGGGATCTTCTGACTACATTACAGATGCAGTGAAATCTGATGTGATGATTGCCAGAGTGGGTGTGCAGAAAATCTGTACACGAGATCGAAGCCAATATATAGGCATGTATGTTGTGCTACCAGGCACATGGGATTCCCAGTGTCCTGTGTTTCACAGAGCTAAGTAAACCCTGTTTTTGGAGGAAAAAGCTTTATTTCTGAAGGAAGAAAGAAAAAATCACCCTACTGTCTTAACTTTTGAAGGATGTGGCAATGAACAAAAATATTTATCCACAAAAGGAAGAAAACAGGAAAACAGTTATCTACACCATGCAATGCTCAAATCTGTGCTATTTTTACAATGTGTCTGTTTAATATAAAATATGTAATGTTTGCTCATTTAACAAGGGTTCTGCTCCAGATTTGAGTTTGTGACTTCTCAACAAGAACTGAACAATAGTAAAATATCTTCTTAAAATGAAACAGACACTAAAGAAAATGCACATTAATACACACAAAGCCACCTGCATACAGACCTTCACAGCAATCTTGCCACATCCTGAGGTCCAGTTTAGGAATATCTTCACAGCTACTATATCCATGTGGGAATTCAGCCACCTTAAACACATCGTGTTGTACCCTGGTTATATTGTCACCATTGTCACACAAAACTCTGGCAAGAGATGTTTGCTTGATCTGAGTGAGCTGAGCAGGTGTGAACACACCTGGGTTCTCATACCACAACCTGTAATCTCACAGAAAAGACAAGTTTGTTAGTGAAAAAAAAACACGTTTCCCCAGAAATATTGCAATACTGTATTCATAATGAAACTATTCCATAAATTCTGCTTTTAACTTTGCATTGTATCTGAGAGAGTAATCCAGAAGCCAAAATGTAAGTGCTTGGTGTCATTTCAACCCCACTCGGTGACATGCTGACACTCTGAAAGGGTTTAGGTCTATCAACAAATCCTTTGATTTCTATTCTAGTCCTCTGTTCATATCTTGGGTATCTTTGGATATCTAAAATGGCACTAGACTACCAAGTTTTAGTTTCTTTTAAGGTAGAGGCTTAAACGACCATAGACTTCTGTCTCCAGGTAATTCTTCCATGGATATGAAAAAAATTTGATAGAATTGTTGAGATTAGAAGAATGGGTAATCTATACCTAGGTTATTACTAAGGTAAGTGAGATTGTTTAATCTACTAAGGAAATTTTTTTCCTGCACAACCATTTTAATGGCTATACTACTTCAGAGACTTATTAATCTATGCTCAGTTAAACGATTGTGTTCAAAGACGAAACAATGTGGTTTCAAATAATTTATTTTTCATACATAAAGGGCTAAAAGCCTCTTATCAATACATATATTACTATGAAAAGCAAGCCAGCCCTTGGAAAAGTAAGAGTTTTAAGTTACTGTCCAGGGTTTGAAAATATTTTACGCTACTCTAACATATGGGAATTCCTCACTGTGATACCGTTTACGTTTCACAAAACTGTGAAGTAATAATTGTAAATTGGTTCTATATTTTTTCCACCTATTTCAACCAAAAATAAGTAGAAGGCTCTTGACACTTTATGAAAAATCAATAACAATCTTATACTAAACTTAGAAATATGGTCAACAAATTTCATTTTACCTACTTATTGTGACACTTTCATAAGGCATTGGACAGGGGGCAATGAATTCCCAAGTACTAGGATCAGAAAAACAGATTCTGAAACCTCCATCTTGAGATTAAGTTAGGCTCGTTTCAAACATCACTCCTTTTCCCTGCACAGGCACATTTGTTTTGCATGGTGCTGGCAGCTTTGATCCTCTGCTCATTGTAAAGTCTTTTCAAAGAAGTGAGAGTTGCTTTCATTATGTCTAATAATATTTCACTATTTGCTGGCACTTTGCTTCAAAACATTTGTGTTCTTTGGACAGCAGAATCCCATTTCCTAAATCTTCAGTGTTTTATTACAGTTTCTAAATGTTGTTTCAAAAAAAAAAAAAAACAGCAACAAAACAACCACCTTTTTTAAAAAAATGCAGACATACACACAAAAAAGCAGTAGCAGTATCATTATCCAGTTGTGACACAAATAGGTACTTTTCACTAGCAATCTGGAGCTCATAGTGCATATATTTCTCCTTTTACTCCCTCTGCCTCCAGGCATGAGAGTTTTATGTTTCACAGCTTAATTTTTGAACAGTTTTTATATAAGATAGTTGTTTTTAAAAAAAAGCATACAGAAAGGCTTGTATTAGTGACTACAGAATTGAAAAGCCTTTATACAATCTTCAGTACCAATTTTGTAACTTACATAAAACAAACAAGATTAGATAAAGTGAATCAAATCCAATTTCCTAGTTCTTCCTCTGTTTCCTTTTCACTAGGATGGGACTAATCAGCCTAAAGCTTTCCACCCTCATGCTAGGATTCCAGGTCACAAAATTATGGTTAAAATGAGGGAAATGTTGATTTTTCAGTTTCTGAATAAATGTGCTGAAAGTATGGCAAAGGAAATCTGGTCACTGTAACAACAGCAATGTCTATTTTCTTATTTCAGGTACTGTAGAAACCAAAAATGAAAAATTGCTCATAATGTGCATGTAAAGCAGTTTAAGAGCAATTATGAAATGTTGTCCTTTGGCATAAGCTTTCAACACACTTTTGATGCAGACTGTTTGTATTGAAAGAAAAGGAAAAACTGAGGTTAGACATTAGGAAGAAGTTCTTTAATATGAGAGTGGTTGATCACAGGGACAGGTTACCTAGAGAGGTGGTGAAGGCTCCATCCCTGGAGACATTCAAAGTCAGGCTTGATAGGGCCCTGATCAACCGGACCTGGTTAGAGATGTCCCTGCTTAGTGTAGGGGGGTTGGATTACATGGCCTTTAGAGGTCTCTTCCAACCCAATACACTCTATGATTCTATACATAGAGTGACACTTTCTCAGCCTATGCTTAAGTAACAGAGAAGATATAAGTGTCTCAACCACCCCAATTCCTTTGCCCATAAATGAATTAAATAGCAACAAAAGGAGATGAATAGTATCCACTTTCAGAAAGGTAAGTGACTTGAATAACTGCTAAAAGGACACTCAGCATATATTGGCTGTGATGCTTTTTGGAGGTCAGTATGACATTCACCATAAAGAGTAACAAATTTTTTAAAAAAAATAATCCCAGATTATAACAATGTTTTAAACTTATATAACTGAAAAGTTGAAGAATACATCAAAATCATAAATGAAAATAAAATGCAGTTTGTTTTAGAAACAAGAAATTGCAACTGTTATTACGCATCTTCAATTTGAAACGAATGTTGGCTTCCATGGCATTTCAATTCACCTGTCTCCATCCCGAATACGCCTGAACTGTGTGCTTAACAGACACATCAAAGTTGGCCCCAGACGGCTTCCTGGAACTAAGTCTTCGACCATCAGAGCAGGAAACAGGTCTACATTCAGTGGGGAACCATACAACCTATAAAGAGAAAACCACAAATACCTAATATCACCATTTAACATTTACAAAATAACCAATATGTGGTAAAACTAAGGGCAAGAGATATGAACAACTCACGGTAAAAATGACAGTGATAGTGCTACAGCTATTGTGAACAACCTGTGTGTGCGGACGTGCAAGAAAGCCTGCAATGTAAGCTGGATATACCAGAGACATCACGGGGGCCTGCAAGCCTACCCTACAATTACCTTTCTCCTAGTAGCTTTATTCTGATTTCTTGAAACCGTTTCTTTTTCAATGGCTTCTTTTCCCTGCCCTCTGTACACTTTTTCTTTTACTGTGGCTAATTCTCTGGTTTTGATTTTGTGTAGATAAGCTAGGGGTGACAGGTAGCTGAAGACTTATTTTTAAACACTGAAGCTCTAGAGAAGAACAGATTACTGGTAGTGAAGGATGTCCACATGAAAAAAAAACAGTGAACAATATTCCCATTTGTTTTAGTGTACAGAACGGATGGAACCGAGTATGTAAACACGTGCACGAGACTGGCATTAATTATGACCTTATAGTGAAATAACATGCATATTTAACAGCATTTATAAACCCAGACATTTCAAATTAATAATTTCACAAACACAGAGTATATATTAACTTATTGTTCACAGAGATGTAGAAGTGGAGAAATTATCTGCATGTGGGAATTTTCCACATCTATATCCTGGTATGAATGGAAGTTTCTTAAAAAGTCCCTTAACCCCTTTCTTCCCAAATATTTTCTTCTAGATAAAACTACTAACTTTGCATGCACATTTAAATAATTGACTGTTTTTTCTTCACCTCAGGCTCACCTGCTAAGTTTCTCCCTGATTTCAGGATTCTTAATTTCATTTTTCAGATCTTCAAAAGTCTGAGCTGAAGAAAGATTACAGTAAACTCTAAAATCATGGTAGGGAGGAATTCCATGATCTCTGCCTCTCTGAATATTCATAGCTGCCAGATCTAAAGCCACAGTACGTGCCATGGAGAAGAGTCTTTCTGTTAATTCTGTATTGAGTAATTGTGATGGGACACGCATCTTACCAGCAACACCAAACAATCCCCTTAGAAGTGGATCAATGCCTCCTTCATTTACAATCCGAAATGGAGAGAAGAATGCCTTATGAAGAGGGAGATGGCCTTGTGGAATAGGTTCAAAGTTTTCATCCAGTCGATACAGAAAAGGATTAATGAGTGTGTGACCAAACCTAAAAGCGGCAGTTGCAAACTCATTAGTTATGCCAGAATTAACACTGGGATCATAACCCTTATATTCGCCAAGCATCTTCATGCCTACCTCTCCAAAGATCTTAGGTAGCCAGTGGCTAAATGTTATGTGTTGCATTTCTGCACCAACAATTTTGCGTGTTTCGTGATATATTGTGTCACCATCCCAGTGTGGATTGAGTTTCAGTAGCTCTGTGGCAATTCTGTTGTGTTCTCTAAACCACAACGTGTGGATGCTGGTAAGACCCAGCTGTTCATTAGAACGCTGATCACCAGCTAAAAAGCAGGGAATTGGGCTCTCGTTCTCGTCTCTCATGCATTCTGTCGGAGGGCCGGTAGCGAATGGAAGGAGAGGTTTGCCAGACCTCTGTACGATGCCCTGTCTCAGAAGACCCCTTTGGCTGGCCAAGTCTCTGATTTCTAGCGCTTCATGGTCCGAACTGCCATACACATTTGACGCGTCGATGTATGAAGTCAGCTGGTTGATCTGTTCTCGTGGGTACACAGAATTCATGAGGAGAGATGTCATGCCACTTCCACAGACTGGACTGGAGCGTACGAAAAACATGCAGCGGGCACCATTTCGAACTCTGGGATCGTTTGGCGGTATCATGATGGAAAAGCACGGAGGATCGTTTGTACAAACGGAACTGCAATGCTGACCATCTGAAAACCTGGCCTCGCTTAGGGCAGCAACGGTGAGGTCAAGGTCGTGGTCAAGAAACTGACCCCACTGCATGAGCATGTGCGTGTACTGGTCATCAGGAGTTATTGTTTCCGTTCCAATCAGAGTCGTTGAAACCAAGCGAGGCATTGGGAGTGCGTAGCCATTAGAGAGCCTCTTGGGTTCAATCCCCCGAGGCAAATTAAATCCATTTTCGTAGACTGACTTCAACAGACGTTCAAAGGCTGTCAGAGAAGCACCCCACATGGGATGCTGAAGGTTGTTGCATGTTCCATCATGTGTCCGGTACTTCTGGTGGAAACACATATCTGAGCAGTTGTTCACTCGTCGGTGGGCTGTACACCCTGAGAGATTAGCAATCAGATTCAAGTACTGTGGGGATACAAGGTCATTATAGTGATAACCTGAAATCAGAACAGAGAGAGAGAGAGAAAAATCAAGGACTTCATAGAGTCATGGTCCCTACAGATCACGATATTTTTTTTTAAATTTTATTATACTGCATTTCTCATCAGATTGAATATCCTTATTGTTTAAAAAGAACAATAATAATTACATATCTATATTAGAAAATTAGGTCATTTGAGCAACAACCACTATTAGGTCAGAGTACTCTGTAAAATGCCAGTTCAAGAACAACGTTTGCAAAACGTTCACAAAATGAGCTCATTACTTGGTCACTTCAGAAAGCAGAGATATGTTCAGAAACAAAAGCCTCATATTGAGACAAAAGGAAAATTTTCCCTATGTTAGTAAAAGCATTTCAAAAACTGTTAGTAACATTTACACGGATTTCAAGACTTTATCTTTTGAGACTTGATAATTCACTGAACATTACTATTTTGTTTTGCGTTATTACAGTGGAAGTTGTAGAATATTAAGAAACAAAATCAACAAAACCCACAAAAGAAAATAACCACAGGCAATATAGCTAAACAGAGGAGTGATCTCTAGGCCAACTGGTGTGGAGTCACTCACTTTCATATTATCTAGGACTAGCTTCTAAAGAAAATTCATGTTTGCATAACTCTTGGCACAGGTTTCCACTGCAATCCACACCATTCACCTCTGAGACTACAACATACTTATTGCCTTTCTGCATTTTTTCTCAGTTCATAGAAAAATGATAGATACAAAACATACACCATAATTCACCAGAATTATGTTTTTATAACTTCAAACTAATGCTATGTGTTGCATGATCTCTGCTGTGGTATGATGGCATATGGAAGGACTGAAAACCATAAGGCCTCCTAATGCAGTGTTGGGTGACTGCAAAGACCAGAACAGTCAGGCAGCGCCTTGCCCATTCCACTTATTACAAGTTATTCTAAAAGTGATTTTTTCTTAGAAACATTTGGGCTTAATTTCAGGAAGAGAAAAGTCATTGACTTGGGCTATATCTATATTATCAGCTTGGGTAGACCAACAAAAATGTGTTTGTATAGTGAAATTTTTGATGATGAGTAAGACTATCTGTTATGCAACAGGAGCAGGTTTCCCTCAGAAAAGCTTTACATTGCTCTCCTGGACTGAATGTGGCCTTGGACCACACTTTTGACTTAATTTGAAAAGAATCCACATTGTTCGAGACCATACCACAACTCACACCAAAGTACAGTAAGTGAGAACAACTGAGACATTAATTTCAAATGGGCCCTGCTGATTCAAAGCATAGTGTGAATGAGCATGGTTCTAGGATGCAGGGTATAGAATATTTAGCAATGTGTATGTACCCTTAGCCAACTAGGGGCTACATACACCACCGTGGCTCTTGCTTTGGGAAGCTTGCAGTCAAGAGTGAAACCAAAAAAAGCAGAATAAAGGCAGAAGAAAAAAGGAAATGACTGAGCATCCAGTGGTGCTGAGTTCCCACAGGTTCCCAACATGTTGGTAATCCCTCAAGTAGATGAGCTGAATGCAGCTTTGCAAGAGGTCAGTGCAGGCTAATCACACAGTCAGGAAATACTCCTTTTAGTCCTGAGCTTTCTTCCAACGTGCCTGCAAAGACAGCGACCGTAATCCACATTCAACACACAAATGTGTGCTAGACAGATTGGCTCTCTGCCAGTTTCCACAATGCAGGGTAATTTCAAACAAATCACCTTTGTCTTTCCCTTGAAAAGGACTGGATTGCTCATAGCTGCTCAGCTGGGACAGGACCTGTGCTCAGTCAGGGGATCTATGTTTTCCCAGCCTCAGGCTACATGTACTTGGAGTGGTTTACAAGTCAAATCAAAGATATTACAGACTTAGTGCTTGTGTTTGGCAAAACCAGCCTATTCTTGTAGACATAAATTATTTTATGGAATACTCCAGACTAGGAAAAAGAACAATAAACCACAGAGCAGAATCAGTGTCACTGGGTAAAGTAGCAAAATATGGTCTTTGAGGATATTATTAATGCATCATAGTATGTGGGCTACTAGGGTTAATTTTAAAACTACACTCAGAAAACCTATTTATTTTTTAAATTATTTACTTTTTTAAATGATCTTCATCCATCATGGAGTGCTTCCAACCATTACTCATGTAGCCTTTATATAAACATTTGCCTGCTGTTGCTATCCTGGTTGTCACCCCCATTTCTGAAAACAAACTGTGAGCAAAACTCAACTATGAACTTTTTGGGTGGAACGATCTTTATTACTTTTCAGCTTTTAAGGTTCAGCTTTTCTGTTTAGAAGTTCAAGTGGAGGGCGATGGCTCATCTATGTATTAGATTCAATGGCTTTCTGAGCAGAGTGGAGGCTGCCAGTCTCAGACCCCTACTACCCCTCCCGTGATAGACACTAACTCTGGCTTGGCTTTCTAAAAGGCTGGGTTCCAGGCATTCCCAATACAAGCTGCCTAGCTCAAGTCACATAATACTAGCTATAGGGTTTTGGTTTGGTTTGGTTTTTTCCAAACTGCAAAGAAAACATTTCCTAGAGTCATAGAAATATTGGTCAGAAGGCACCTCTTACGCAGACCAAGCTCCTCTGCCTCCAGCACTGGATCAGCAGAGCTGTATCCTTCACTAAGGGGCTTGAAAACCTCCAAAGACTGACTCCTCAGCATTTCTGGATAATTGTTCCACTACTACACTAGCCTCCTGGTGAGAAACTATTTCCTAACATCCAATCTGAACCTCCCAAGCAGCTATTTGTGGCCATTTCCCTTGTTATACAGTTTGGCACTGCAGAGGAGAATTTGGCTCGATGGTCTTTCCTTGGAATATTCCAAGATTTTACATTAAAAAAAGTCTCTGAATGGGAAATCATCAAGTTTTTCAACGGTTCCCAGTGCAAAAGTGCTAAATAACACCCTCCATTGGGCTCTGCATTTTGAAATAAACCCAAATAAGAGTATTAAAATCTGATCATTAGGCTATTTAAATGAAAACAGATTTCTTTTGCTATCCAAGTTTCCCTAAAAGCCAGGTTTTGAGGGATTTCATAGGACTGAGAAGCAAGCTCTGGTTGTCAACAGAATCTCCACTAGCACAGAAAATTGCCTGATTTTATGTTCATTAATTTGTATTTGTATGCTTTAATGCCAGTTTTTGGTAAACTTTAGGTGACTGAATTTCACTATTACAAATCCTAGTGAAAAGTACTCAAGCAACTGTCACACAAGATTTCCTGTGTTCCTAGTATTATATTCAATATGCTTGGATATGCATCTAATCAGAGAATCAAATTAAATTGGGTTGTTCTTATAAAACACAAGTCTTCAAAGAATTTTGAATAAGTTCTCATGGTAAGCTATTCATGACAAATTACTTACTCAGCTCTAATAATAAGTAACAAGCTTCTTTTACTAGCAAATGTTCTAGTACTTCACAAAGCTTGCAGTCTTTGGTCTTATAAATACTTTCCTAGTTCACAGTCAGAGTTAAAGTTTTCGGAAGTTACAATAAATACTCAATTATAAACATCAAAAAGAATATAATAAGTAAAAATATTTCCTCTACATTTCTACTGTAGTTTTTGGCTACATCTCAAGTCTCAAAAGGTCTCCTAAAACTCTATCATTATTTCTAAATGCTTCAGTCCTATGTCTCAAGCCTATCCACATACATATCTACACACATTAGTTGTATATGCTCCAGCTGGACTTCATGAATTTGAACTTGGATTTCGATAACTCAAGGGGTAGAAATATTAAACCTCACATTTTTCTGCTATTTATAAAGCAGCAAAAACTGTATTTCTCTTTACATCAAGATCAATGTTAAAGGAAAAATTAGCTGTTTGACATGCACTTAAAGAATGCGTGGCAAATAATTCTTTGAATACTATTGTTGCACTATGGAAACCTTGGTTTGTAAAGTATACAAATCCTTCTTGCTATATCATCTTTTACCCTTGCCAAGGCACGCCAACACTAAATAGTTTTACTTAAAGAAACATGAACAAAATACTGATTACTTTTAATACATAACAGAAAAGTCTGCTCTACTATGAAACAATGGTCCTAATGAGTAAACACAGAGGGACTTCACAAACAGGATGCATTAGGCACTTCCATTATATCAAATATGCCTAGAAAAAGAATCTGAACATGTATTTCTCCTTAATATGGCAATGTGAGGAAAAAGTACAAACGCTTTTACTTGGAGTGCTCAAGCAAACTGAATTACACTATAATGTGCAGACTGAGGACTGAATTGGGAAAACACATTTATTTGGTAAAGTTTTACAAAGTCAAATACTCCACTGATTTCAATTTAATGGAACTGCAGCTGGGACCCAGAAAGAGAAATAAATGTCTCGTGAAGTATAATGACTTAAGAAAACAAATACACTTCATTAGAGAAAAATAAGGAAACAGTACTGACTTGTTCCATTCAGGTCAACCATTAGACCATCTTGTACATGATCTTGAATAAGCTGCAATGTCCTTTCAAATATTTCCCCAGCTCTTGCTTGCTCGACAGTGTATGGATCCCTTGGGTATCGGAACAAGGCTAGCAAATCATTTGGAGAACGAGGACGACTGATAGATAATTTGAAAAAAACAGTAAGTGTACACAGGAGTTACAAAATAACAATACTAAATAAATCTTGTAAACAGTCAGCAACTTGTTCAGTACATACCTGGGTTACTCATCTCAAAATGGAAGGCAAACAAAAAAATTAATAGAATAATAAAACATTAAACATTTAGTATCAGTTAAATATTTAGTAGACTTCTCATATACATTATCTCAGCAAAAAAACTGCAGTGAACAGAGATCCCCAAAAGACTGTTTAAACAATAGGAATCATGGAATCACCGTGGTTGGAAAAGACCTCTAGCATCAAGTCCAACCTTCCTCCCAGCATTTCCCTAACCACTAGACCATAGCCTCAAGTGCCAGTCACTTGTTTTTTAAACACCTCTGGGGATGATGATTCCATCACCTCCCTGGGCAGCCCGTTCCAGTGTCTAACCACTCTCTCAGTGAAGAAAATCTTCCTAATATCCAGTCAATATCTTCCCTGGTGCAACTTGAGGCCATTTCCCCTTGTCCTGTCATCAGTAAGTTGGCAGAAGAGACCAACAGCAGTCTCACTACAACCTCCTCTTAGTAGTTGTAGAGAGCAATAAGGTCTCCTCTCAGTCTCCTCTTCTCCAGACTAAACAGCCCCAGTTCCCCCAGTCAGTCCCCATAAGCCATGTTTTCCAGCTCTCTCACCAGCCTCGCTGCCCTTCTCTGGACCTGCTCCGGCACCTCCATGTCCTTCTTATCCTGTGGTGCCCAAAACTGGACACAGGACTCAAGGTGTGGTCTCACCAGTGCCAAGTACAGGGGCACGATCACCTCTCTACTCCTTCTGGTCACATCATTTTTGACACAGGCCAGGATGCCACTGGCCTTCTTGGCCACCTGGGCACACTGCTGGCTCATGTTCAGTCAGCTGTCCACCAGCACCCCCAGGTCCTTTTCCACCAGGCAGTTTCCAGCCACTCCTCCCCAAGACTGGAGTGTTGCCTGGGGTTGTTGTGACACAATGCAGGACCCAGCACTTGGCCTTGTTAAACCTCAAACAACTGACCTCAGCCCATTGCTCCAGCCTGCCCAGATCCCTCTGCAGAGCCTTCCTACCCTCAAGCAGATCAACAGTCCTACTTAATTTCGTGTCATCTGCAAGTTTACTGAGGGTGCACTCGATCCACTCATCCAGGTCATTGATAAAGATATTAAACAAGACCGGTCCCAAAACTAAGCCCCTGAGGGACACCGCTCATGACTGGATGCCAGCTGGGTTTAACTCTATTCACCACATCTCTCTGGGCTCAGCCATCCAGCCAGTTTTTAACCCAGCAAAGAGTCCACCTCCTGTTTAGGCCATGAGCCACCAGCTTCTCCTGCAGAATGCTGTGGGAAGCAGTGTCAAATGCCTTACTGAAATCCAGGTAGACAACATCCACTGCTTTTCCCTCATACACTAGACGGGTCACCTATCATAGAAGATCAGGTTGGTCAAACAGGACTTGCCCTTCATGAAGCCATGTTGGCTGGATCCGATCCCCGTGTTGTCCTGCACTTGCCGCATGATCTCCCCCAAGATGAACCATTCCACAACCTTCCCCGGCACCGAGCTCATGCTGACAGGCCTTACACGTTAAGCTGTTAGTGTTCCCAGAACCAACCAGATGTTAACAATGTCGTTTAAATAATAAAATGGCTTCTTGCTTAAGAAATTTTCCATTATTTCCAGCATATACAAAATTAGTCTTGACTTCTCAATACAAAAAAAAAAAAAAGAACAGGATACCTGTCAAACAGATGTGTACGTGTTGAATTTATTGCTCTGTCAACAGTTGCAATTGCTTCCACAATTGATGTTTGTACAAAAGGATCTCCATTTCGGCTGACATTAGGGACTACAGAAAGAGGAATTCACATGTTATTGCAAAAATGGCCACACACAAAAAGATACTTCTATAAAACAGAGTCTAGACACGACATCATTTCAGCTGTAGAAAGTAAGCCTCTGTTCTTTAAGCATTAGTTTGTCCAAATATAAAATTCTTAACCATTTTAAAATTCTAAAAGCATGTTACAGTAGAGCAAAATTAATTTAAAACAGAAGTTAATGTAAGTTTGAAAATCAGCTTGCTTATAATTGTGAAACAAAATAAAATGAAGATAAATACATACAGTGTTTAACTATTAATTAGTCCTACAATTTCAAGTAAGAATTACCCCCCAAAATTAATTATTACTAAGAGTTTTTTTACTGGTGACATCTATTATCAACTTTTCAGGTGTTAATATCAACAGCCTGATCTATATCCACTGGAAACAATGCAAGTGTTCCCCTTGAATATCAATTAGTACTGAATTAGTTCTGAATTCAGTGTAAGAATTTAAAGGGTTTGCAGGAATGTGTTACAAATGGAAAATTCTAAGACTCATTTTGCCTTTTAGAACACATGCATCAAATAAATTCAAAGAAATTTCACAAAAGAAAAGAAAAAGAGTAAAAGAAAAAATCCCCAAAACATAAAAAAAATAATCACAGAATATTGTATATTCCCAAATAGCTACAGTAAATTAACAGTGCTCCTCTCCTGAGCCTTATCTAGTAAACTATGCACATTAATTTTTAAAGGGCTATAAATATTTTATTTACTTTGATCGCTACTTTGTTTTCTACTTTAAAATTATCTATCTTTTTAATATCACATTAAAAAATCACATGCTATTTAACATTAAAAACTCTGTAATGTTAAAAGCTATTTAACAACTCTGCAGAATAATGGAAACTCACTAATGCATAGGCTTATTCATCTGCCTTTTTATACAGTGCTCACTTGCAGCTGGATGTTTGTACAACGTATCTAAGTCTAATAACCTTCCTTTCAGTCTAAACCAAGAACTACCAGATCCAGGGGCAACAGCTAACAATTTCCAGAGTATGTTTGGATTGGAAAAGTTGCACAGGAAGAAGGGTAAAGTAGGGAAAAAGTACAAAGCAAATACACTGGAATAAAATCAGCAGATGTACAAAATCAGCTGACATAAAAACTGTTGTTTGCAAGATTTTAATGACTTTTTTTTTTCCCCCTAGGCAATATTTCATTATTCCTTCATAACTGCCAGCTTAGGCTGTGTCTATAGGAGTTTCAGAGTCTAGACCTGGGTAATCAAACTTAACCACCTATACCATCAAATAAAACAGTCCCTGGCACTCCATAGCTATAGTTGAAGCCTCTTTCTCTGCCCCTGAGGCCAGATGCCTTGGGCTCCTGACAACATACTCCCAGCATCCAAAATGGGCAGTTCCTTTCCATGGCCCCTGATCTGTCCCAGTTATCAAACGTCCTCCTTGCTTTAGAGCTTCATTTTCACAGCAACCATATAGAAATGTTATCAGATAAGCTACTTATTTCAAGGAGAAATATAATTTACAGTTTTGCTGTTCTCATTTTAGATGGTTCAGAGAGTGCTTGTGTGCCCTGAACTTAGCACCATGATATTGAAGATTGTGAAAATCCAGTTGCTGGTTACCTTCCCTGGTGCTGTCTACAATAGGTGTAATCTTGGTGTTCACTTTAAACATATGTTTTGTATATATTTATGAATTCAGTAAACAAAATATAGACAGCACTGGGAAACAATATCCAATATGTTAAAGAAATCACTGCTCAATACTCCTTTTTCAATGATATAAAAAGAGTGAAATTTTCTAGTGAATCATATTTTCTAGCAAAAGAGGAAAAAAAAAACCAAAACCAAAACCAAGACCATACAGTTTCCTTAATATTTTCCATCAAAGTGAGTCTGAAAAATCAGCAGTTTTACTCAGTAAGTCAGAAAAGCATTAGGGTCAGTCTGTACAACAAAGTTATTTCCTTTGCCTCTTTGGCTGCTTTATGGCCACTTATTACATGTTAGTAAGTAATAACTATTATTTGCCATTATTACTTTCAAATAATTAGAGTAAGCTCAAATATTCTCCTTTTCTTTGTTTTCTTCTTTAGCTTAAGATCATTAAAATCTTCCTGAATTCCTTCACAATGGTTGCAGTGTAGTTTTCAACCAAGTCCTGGAAGTGTCTCTTTAGAGATGCCACAGGACTTTCTCTTGTCATCCCTAAAGACTAGGCTGTGTATTCAGCTAGCAAATTCTAATAGGTCCAAATATCTCAAGAAGAAAATAGCATGGCTAAATGGAGCCGAAAGCATTGTTTGTTTTGAAGGTTAACTCCCAGAGACATTTTGGCTGATGTATTCCCATCTCACTCACATCTGTGCAGATAGTTGCCTGAATTAAGTGAAGGAAAAAAGAAGAAAAAAAGAGAGTTAAGGGAGAAATAGATGACCAAGAGAAAGACTTTAACATCTGAGAAACTTTTTTTTGCATTTCACAAATTAAGCAATTAGAATAAAACTAATAAACTAACTCATAGCTCTGCTTCTTACACCTTACCATTAACACTAAGCACCATACTAACAGAGGAGTACCCTATGGTGTTCCGGGCAACACATTCGTATCGACCTTCATCAGCGGTTCCGACATCACGGATGGTAAGAAATCCCTCCGGACTAACATGAAACTTCCCACTCTCAGTTACCTGCACTCCATCCTGCAGCAAAGCACAATGTTCAGTTCTTCTAAACACTGTTTTCAAACCTGAGTTTCGTCTTCTTTTTTTCTTTCACTTTTATATTTTATTCTATATTTCTATTGTGTATCCCAAGATAATATTCAAATAGATTTAGATAAACTTACATAGAAAACTCGCACACTGTTTTTGTTGACAGCAGGTCCTGCATGTACTTCTAAATTGTGCAGTGTATTTATTTACTTTTAAAGTTACTCATTATTATAAATCAAAGAATTTGAATAACTATGGGTCCTCACTACATAAAATTTAAGACGCCAGCATAAGATAGCACCTCTTGAGAACATGTATATTTGATTTTACTCCAAATCAACTAACTGAAAAATATCACAGGAGCTTAATATGTATCAATAGTTCATATATCAATACTTTGAAGCTATTTAAGGTGCATTAAAACTACATTTTCTCATGCTAACTGAAGAGAAGATAACCAGGAAAACTGAAGATTAATATTAGCCACCCATTAATTCACTGGTAACTCCGCTAAAACTCTGATATAACAGTTATGGCACCAATGGAAATCAAAGCACCAGAGAGGTTACCAAGGAGTTACTGAAACACATCCTGGTTGAAGTGTCAACCTAACTGTGTCAAAGGGCTCAGAAATACAGTGGGTTTTATTACTTTATATTTACAATATCATTGAAAGTATTAACATAATAGGATATTTGCACTGAGCTCTCACTAAAACACCCAGGCCTTTTAAGGCCTACATTATAATGTTAGCTGGTCTGTGTCATATATTTTCCATATGTATAAAATTCAAGTTTGGTATCTATAAATATACTCTGTCTTAAAGATGATCTGCTGACTGAATTCCAGTTAACATTTTCAAACATGAGAGCAAGCCATAATTCGACGATTTGCACTTTAAACAGCTAGTTATGAAGAGATGGAAAGGCCACTGCCCTTTTGCAACAACCTGACAAATACCTAGTACCTTATTCCATGTAATTACTGGCTCTGGCTCTCCTTGAGCGCTGCATGGGATCTGCACATTTGTGCCAACCTCCACTGTCATGTCACTGGGAACACTGGCAAATACAGGAGTCACTAAAAAAACAAATTACATGTTGACAAGGTATGAAATACAAATTGTGCAACAGCAATCTAAAAAGAGGTCAGAACTGTTTATTTTTTCAATTGCCCAACGTTTCTTAATTTATCACCTTGTTCTGTCTGCAAGTTTTTAGTTGCTTATAATTTGTCTTGGAGATAAAATTCCTTACCCCTGATGTCTGCTTTAAGAGTACTTAAAAATCAGCCTAACTTCTAACAAAACAGGCTTAGCATTTTTCAAAACTTCTTAAATTCTGTAAATTAAATGCTCTGAAAAGAATTTTTGTGATTAGCAAAATCTGAACAAAGTCACCAGAATGAATATCTCACCAACTTCTGAGAAGTTTCTTAAGCTTAAGTTTTTTAAATAGCAACAACAGGGTTTTCTTCGGTGATAAAAGCAGAACTTTCCACAACTCATTCTACTGTGATACCCCCAGCCCAACTTGCTGAGGTGCTTAGCTTTCACAGAGCTCCTGCCCCCTGACACCAATGAGCCCTAGGTCAAAACATAAAAAAAAATCGCCTTCAGCTTTAAGGACACAGGGTACACAGTTATATAAATACAGTGTGAAGAAAATAAAAGCATTTTTTAATCCTAATTTCCTTCAAATCCAGATTGACATCCCACACTCAGATACCATCATGACAAGCACAGTCAATATTATGAAGAAATGGAGAACTGCATTTCTGCAGTAACGTGTCGATGTTTTTGCAGGAGTGGGCTGGGCTTCTACAGAGAAGTATTTGGCCACACAGCTTATATTTATACTACCAGCAAATCTGGCTCTGACATTAAATTGTTTGTATGTAAATGGCTGTCAAGGACCAGAAACTATTTCAAATAAGGTATCGAGAGGCAAGCGTCCAGCACTGGGAGGTAAGAGAGTCTGGCTCTGTGACTGTGAGCCATATCATGCCAGCAAACAGACCTGGACCATTAATCTGTATTCATCAATACAGGTTTAGCCACAGTGACCACTGACTAGACATGCCTCAGATGAACAATCCTTTTCTTGGAAGCCTAGAGGAAAAAAAATTCCCTCCTTGCACAATTGAAAATAGCATTGCAATGAATGTATGGAGAGAGCTCCAACTGTAGGCTGCATATGCATATGTATTGACTAACTTTTGGTGACTGGATTTTGCAACCCAAGTCACAGAAAAAATAATTTTCTGAAACTTTACTCAAGTTCAGTGAAATTTAACACAGCTGGAAGGTTGTAAAACTTTTTTAAATTGAATTCTGCTTTATGGAATTTTAGTCAACAGTTTAATATAGGTGAAAAACAAAATTTTCACTCTTGGAAATCAATCTCCCAATACTACTCTTAAGTAAGAAAAATCAGGGGAATTTTTTTCTAGCAAACAGAAGCTCAAGAACACATCTGAGCCCCTTTTACTAAAATACTGTTTAAAATGACATCACTAACAAGAAATGCTTTGAACTAAATGTTTAAGTAAATAAGGAGATTAAACGACAAAGTACTTAATTATAAATATGAATATGATTCTAATTAAACCTAAAAGTAGCTTACTTAGGATTTACTTGAAGAAAAGCATATGAAAAATTGAGTCTTTTTTTTTGTGGCAGCTTATTTTCAATATAAGGAATGACATTTCATTGTGAAGGTCATTCTGCTATTGTAAAATAAAGTGTCTGTTTCTGGACATTATAAAAAAATATGCTAATAACACTATTTGGTTAGCAGCATAGAGTCTTTTAAGAAACTATTTTTTTTCAGAAAACAAGGGGTTTTGGCCAGTCATAAGAATATTGTCATCCTCAGAGAAAACCTCTACTCTTCACAAAAAAAAAAAAAGTAAATCAGATAAACCTCTTTAACAGAACATAGGACTGTTCCAAAGGAATGATATTCTGTACAAATAATGATAAGTAACCAAACATGTTCTTTATTAAAAGTCACACTATTTATTAAAAAACACCTGGAATCTAAAAATAGATATACTGAGAAATAATCATGATAAATAGGAAATATTAGCAATACCCTGAACATCAACTTCTTTAAACAGTAAAAGATTAGCCTCATTCTAACAAGCTTTTATCAAAAAAAGTTACATTTAGTTGTAGTCTCCAAGTGACTTTGAACAGTCTATCATGGCACACTGTCCCACATGCTCAATTTATTAACACTAATAAAACACCTTATAAGTCAAACCCAGTAACTTAGTATCACTATACAATGCAGCAAGAGTCCTGAAGAAAATCCCAAGCACTGTTCAAGCTCTCCTCCAAAACCTTTTCTAATTCCAAACAAAGAGAAACTAATTCATCTTAACATTTTGTGCCATCAAAAATAATTGATTCTCAATTGTACAGTTTAGGACAAAAAAAACCCCAAAACCTCAAACACAGTACTATGTGTTTTAGTGTAAGCATAATTTAATAATTTTTTTCAGCTGTTGTACATAGAGAACATACCTCTAGGTTGCACAGTCAGGTATACAACAATTCGTTGAGATCCAATAATGTTGACAGCTTGGCACTCATACTGCCCCTGGTCATGCAGAGCAACCCTGGAAATCCTTAGGGTGCCAGAGGATAGAACTAAATGTCTTCTGTCAACAGACAGCTGGCCTCCTGAAGCACAAAACAACATTTGCTATTTATAACAGTGCAGAACAAAGTCCCTTTGTGTCAGAGAAAGGGAAATCCAGAACATTTTAAATTTCATAAAACATCGGAAAAAATTAAAATTGCTTTAAAAAAAAAAGTTTGCAACTTTTACTTCTCAGAAGATAAACACACAAAACAAACAAAATATACATGTGCAACTGACCATAAACCTGCTATCATCTCTATTTGTGGTAGAAACAGGTATTTTCATTTAAGGAGCATGATAAAGTATCTGAATGGGAAGTCATCATAAGAACACCACCAACAGGTTATTGCTGTTCATTTAATATTATTGCTGTGTGTGCAAGACAATTCATCTAATCTGCTCAGATCATCTAGAGAATCCACAGAAAAGTACATACAGCCCTGAAAAACTGGAATATTATAATAATGAAATGAAAGGCACATCAGTGTGTGTACCCTATTCTTCTTTTCTGGATATTCCATTTGATTGGAGCAGTCTTGGTAGAGGAAGAAACAAAGACAGTATCCACATCAAAATGATCAGGAATGTTAATAATCTGCTTTATCTACCATAATTTAGAACTTCCTAAAAGTTGTTTTGCTTGCTAGAGCTATTTCATTTGATTCAACTGGAATATTCACTTACTGATAAAACATCCACTACAGCATTTCTTCCCCTGGATTTGATTTAATGCCTTTACAGCCATAACCTGATAAAACAGTCAGCAGATTGCACCCCAGTGCTCCTATTAATGTGCATTAAAAGCCAGAAATAGTTCTGCTGATGCCAGTTACAGGTTGGACTGTTCTGGTTTCTGAAGCAAGCACATCCCACCTAACTTCAGACTGCCAGTTAATGACAGCCATGTCCATTTCTTCTGCAGTAAACTGGCAGTGATAGGTATTGTCACATACTATTTCTCTCATATTTCTTAAACATTTATTATTAGGAATCTATTATGCAGACATATGTTAGTGACTCCTTTTTCCTGAATCATGAAAAATGCTTGGGCAGCTAGCTTCTGTGGGATACCTTGCCTTTTCTAGCTAAGGCAGAAAAAAACGAGCCCTGTTTCCTTCAGAGTGTGGAGACTAAAGAAATACATGCAATTCCTTCCAATGCATGAGTGCCTCCAAAATGACGTCTGAACTATTCTAGTAGTTTAAAAGTAAAAACAGAACATGCTTACCTCCTTTAGTCCAGGCAATAACAGGCTGGGGATAGCCTTGTGCTTCACAAGGAAAGTCAACAGTTTGCCCCTCAATCACTGTCTTGTCTTGAGGAGTGACAGTAAACTGAGGTAGAGCTACAGAAGAGAAAACAAACTGTTTGAAATAAAACTAAATCAAACCCTGAAAAATGCATGACTGTCTGATGAATAGCTCATACTGGTGGGAAAAGAGATGTTGATGTGACCCTCTTACATTGTGACTGTTATAGGGCAGAGAATTCGGGCAGCCATTTGTGCAACAGGAATATTTTCCTCACAACCTGGCCCTGGTGTCAGTAAATGCCTCTGGATCTACTGCCATCGATTCAAAATAAGAGGTACAGTAAGACTTGTAGAATCAAACACAATGTGTTCCCTGGATTAAAACTACCTTCTCTTTCTCTCAAAAAATCCTCAGCTAAATTGTGAAGCAAAGGCAGTATAGTCAAAACCATCATGAGCTGCTTGTTTTCTTCTTTACACAAAAGGAAAGCAGAAAATGGATTGTGGGCCAAGTTCTGCAGTAACACCATGGCATTATCAGTGTGAGAAGTAATTTGTTCAGCTCTCAAAACAAAATCGTCCATTGGTGAAAAATGAATGAACAAACCACAGTGAAAAGTTGTTTGTATAGCTTTAAAAATTGAACTCATTAACAAAGTATTTGCAACCTGAACTCTTTGCCAACTACAGATCTTAACACAGGAACAGAAACAAACATCAATTTAACGGTTACTCAAAATATTTTGCAAATAGAAGTTCCAGCATGAAAATATTTGGAAACAAATAGACTCCATATTAGACAGAAGAGGCTTTTGAGACACTGTTCTCAAAATATTTTATATTCATACTATTGACATACAATATCAAAATTATTGCCATCACAGTAAACTATATTCATTTTTGTTTTGCAGAAAAGCTATGCTAATGCCTCTGCTGTCAGAGGGATAGTTTCCATGAAACTCAGTGATGTTCCCACATTCACTGAAATATCTACAAAAGAAAGGCAGCACAGATCTGTGCTCAAAACTCCATTTCTAGTACTCCAGGCACAAATTCTAATCACTAGAGTTACTGCCTGTTACATAAAAAAAATGAATTACCCACAAATTTGACACTGTATGTTTATTCCTGCAGACAAACAAAATAACAAAAATAAACATTTCAAAACACTGGTGATTAACTTCTGAGAATAATCAATGAAACAGCTTTCAGAGAATTGGTATGTATCTTACTCTGAGTGAAACATAAGGCAGCTTTCCTATGGATTACACTAGAACTATGGATTACACTAGTGTAATTGAAAGAAATAACTCATGTTTTAATTTGGCTCTGACAATTCAGGAAAAAAAAAAGACAAAGCCACACAATTTAAAGTAATTACCCTCTTAAAATGTTTTACAGCATGCCATGCCTGGCTGAATGTTACTCACCTTGCACTATAATGTACGCAGTCGCGTGGATATTATCTATGCTGTTAGTTGCAAAACAGGTGTACTCGCCACTGTCCTCCTGCTTCACATTTTGGATGTAAAGTCCTCCTGACGGAGTGATGGTGATGCGAGGGTCACTTGGCAAAGGGGTTCTGTCACCTTTGGTCCAGGTAATCCGTGGCTGAGGGTGCCCCGTTGCACTGCACTCCAAGGTGACACTCTCTCCAACTAGCACTTCGGTGTTTTGCGGGTGAATCACAAAACTTGGACGGGCTGTGAGAAATGAGTGATATCTAAATACGACTTTTAGCTCATATAGCACTAAATTAGATGAATATTGTGATAGGTGGGGGAATCTATGGGGGGTTTTAATAGCTCTGTTCTGACATACTTCTAATCTTGGTGCAAACTCCAACTCTCTTTAAGTTTGCTCTAGCTGAAGACATTTATAAACATCAACAGATGAAAAATAAAATTCATTTACTTACGCTGATGTTTCCACTTAACTCCCATTAAATCAATTTTCAAATATTTCCTTCTCATTTGCTGACCTTTATAAAAGTCTCTTCAGAGTCACAGACACCAAGATCCATAAAACAAACTGGCGAAAACTTGCCAAAAAGACAAAACTGACTACACTATGTTTTAGTAACCTTTCCTAAGTACATGAGTACTTTTCAGTGACATTTTAAGTTTACCCAATGCTCAGTGTCAAAACAGCATCTTCTCACAGCAAAGTTTGGAATTTAAAAACATTACAGTCCTGGACAGAAATTTTGTGCTTGCAAACATGAAGCCCTGGCTCGACAGAGTCAAGCTAAAAAACTCCTGAGCAAGGGTAGCTGCACAGGGTGTGTCAAAAGTGGCCTGTTTGGAAGCTGGTGATTTTCAGATATCCAGAGAGAATATAAACGCATTGAGCACCATCACAATGCAACAGCCTCTTTTTATAACCCTTCTACAAAGACCCTAAAAGCCTACCATCAGAATTGATACTACAATAAACATAACTGGCCGATTTGCTTTTTTGTTTCAGAGATATTGCAGCTTCATGATCTAGTTCTTAAGATGCCCAAGCACAAGAAATCTACATGTCAAGACCATAAAAGAGCCAAAGCATCTTATTTTTAGCGACCTTATTGTCAAAACAATTCTCCATCTGAAAGCAAAATTCAGACAATGTTTTTTACCTGGTGACTCGAAGTATCTAAGAGTAACTTCCTGAGTTTTCACTTCTCCAGCTACATTTTTTGCCATGCACTGGTAAATGCCTTGGTCTGTTTCTTTAGTATTTTGAATCATTAGTGTGCCGTCATCTAGCAAATTTAGACGGGAATCTTCTTTCATACTGAGCTCATTACTGTGAAGAAAAGAATCTGCTGGAGTTAAACCTTTAAATTGCAAGCACAGAAAACTGCCAATAACAAACTCCAAAACATTAATCCAAAAATAACTTGGGGGAAAAATAAGTTTTACTGTGTTAAGTAAAATAATAGAACTTTTCATTTTCTCCTAAAATGAAGAGAAACAAAAATGAACCAAATTTGCTTATTCAAGTATTACATCTTCAAAATGAAAAGCCAAAATACTTTTATGAGTAAAAGCTTACAGGGAAAAAAGGTGAACAAAATACACATACCTGGTCTCATTTTCCTTTAAAGCTGTTCTAACTGGCCAATCAATGGAAAATGTTTCTACTGGAAGTATACAATGCAGGTTCAACACTCAAGATACTTTCTACTAGGAGGGGTTAGTTGCTATAAAATCAACTTTGTGCCAATCTCTGTCTGAATTGCTCAAGGAGCACTAATGAAAATGATTATAATTTGTACTGGCTTAAAAACATAGGTTAAGGTCAGGTCTTCAGGCTATGTCATGAATGCATTTCTGTGGCATTAACTAAGAACAGTTAGGGGGGTTTATTAAAGAAACTGTTTCTCACTATTCCTCACTACATAAGATGAAGAAAGCACACAGGAGGGATGAGAACTCACCCCCCTCGCAATGTGCAAAACCCAGCCTGACTGTTGATCTAATTCAGCATACTGCTCAACAGGTCAATGGCTTTGGACTGAAATCTTGCAACACTCAACTACCTTGCAAAGAGCTTTACTCTCATTCATGCAGCCAGGAAACAAGCCAGAGTCAACAATCCCACACCCCAAGCTCAAATTTCTTCTTAAAACTCTTTCATATGTGTGTTCTGAATACATGTTTTCTTTGTTTATTACAAGAAGAACATGAGCCAAAGAAAATTTTAATGAAATAATTATACCATCCAAGTTCAAGGCTCTGTTCTTGACACACTCCATAAATGCTGTACCCTTGCTGCACGTGGGGTTTTCACTGACATCAGCAGAAACATACAGCTATGTTGTTCCATTTTATCAGCAAGTAACAAACTAAAACGGTTCATTTGCTAATAAAAAATGTAAGGGAATTTTTTTTTCTGTATCAGGTTATCCATTTGTATAAGAACACTGGCAAACTGAAGTCTGATTAAACTAGTGGTAAACTCACAATTTATGTGTCCATTGTAAATTCACAACAATTTCATGGGGGCAATTTGCTGCCACGTAGGTGGCTCAGCCCCATGCTGTGCCCAGTGCTGCTGGAGGGAAGCAGGCTCCGGGCAGACCTTGAGTAGCCACTCAGCAGCAGGCTGGCCCTTGGGCTGCTGAACGACACACATCCTTTATAGGCCCTTCCCTCCACCCTGTAAGCAGTGAGAGCAATGGAGCAGGTTATCCAGAGAGCTTGTGTTGCCTGCATGCTTAGAGGCATTTAAGACCCAACTGGACAAAGCAACCTAGCATGATCCGTCTTTGAGCAGAAAGGCTGCAGTGGAGACCTCCTGAGATCCCCTTCAACCTGAACTACCCTACAATCTTATGATATAAGCACTTGCCTGCTCTCCATGTACAACTGGAGTCCTTTAAAAAAAGTAGCTTTTCCTCTGCCTCAAAATATATGCAAACATCAGCTAAATAGCATGTCCATATTAGATTGTCTGGTCCTTACATATAAATGATTTAGTTTTACAGGTGTGACCAACTTTGCAGGCATAACTACAGCTGAAAATCCTACCAATAGTATTAGTCACAAATTAATATTTACTCAAGCTGTCATGTCATAAGTGTTTTAAATTACTACTAACCCAGATCTGGGCCATTATTAGTTCATATACTTAATTATAATGGGTTTCTCCTTTAACTGTTCTATATATTAGCATGTAATGCATGTGGACACGAACCCAGAAATGCACACAAGACAAACATGCTTACATTAAGGTTCTCTCTTCCTCTTTTAAACTTACTTGTTTCGAAGCCAGATAATTTCTGGTTTAGGATTGCCTTCAGCTCTGCAAGTGAAGTACACTGTATTCCCTGAGGTAACGTCCACATCCTGAGGCTCTGATGTAATTCTTGGCCTCTCTGTATCAACAATAAAGCATATAAAGGACTTGTTTTAAAACTAATAAAGAATGGTAAATTAAAACAATTTCCATATACCCTGTAGAAAAATATATTTCACAAGTGTTTTAACTTACAATATGTATATGCTTAATCAAAATTAAACACACTTTTCCCTAGCAAAAGTGACTGAGGGCTTTCTAACTTCCTCCATTGTTCCTTATGACCTATCACTAGTCTGGAATTGCATTGTGCAAATTTGTATCAGGTTCTAAAGTAGCTGTTTTATTTATTTGAACAGAGGCTCAATTTGCTTATGAAGGAAAAACTTTAAAGCAGCACGCACAAGTGCCATTTAAAGTAACTTCCTCCAGATAACTATCAGTGCCTAACCTGCCTCCTACAGAATAATGTGTCCAGCTTGCTTCCTGCAATTTCCATAATCCTTAGATGTGCAAAATGCTGGTAGTATGCCATGTGAATTGTACTTGCACCAAATCTCCTTTTTACTGTCTTTTTTACAAACCTTGTAGATGCTTACAGTCACTATTCTCATCATCAGAATTACATTCAACACATAACCAAAAGGAAAATTTACTTGTTTTATAACTTGGCCTTATCATGTAGCTGGGCAGACAAATGCCCACAGCTTGATGAGAAATGTGAATTTTTATCTTGGAAGAGAAAGGTCTGGGTCGAAGCCCTAGGGTGCCCATGGGGCTGAGACTTTACAACCCTGGGCTGAAGGAATACAAACAAACAAACAAACAAAAAGGACTATTATAAAAGTGCTTATCCATTAATTCTTCAGTGACAGAGGATATTAGTGCCTGTGCAGGGCACTCCTTGTAAGTATAGCTGAGTAAAAAAGAAATGCAGTGGCTTGACCTCAATTACAATAATATGAAAAAGAATTTTAACAGTAAGGGCTGTGAAATCAGGACCAATTCTGTACTGCTTCCTTCTTCCCTTTCTCTTGTACAGAAGGGAATAAAGGACACCAAACAAAATTAACATAACTCCAAAGATCCTAGTTGACAATACTTTTATAATCAAAATTGAAATATAAAAGGGGAAAATAAACTATTTCTGGATAACCACATTTAGTTCCTCAAGAAAGAATTTCAAACATGACCATATTCACTGCATTAAAGAGAGGCTGAGGGGCAAAAGCATCCTGTCAGAAGCAGACAAAAACCGAGAAGGAACGCAGGGAGATTTCAGGAAATAGCCAATACCGACCAGAGGTGGTGTAAAGAGAAAAGAGTTAATGACA